GGTTCTAACGGTTATATCTCAAATATATGTAGAGGCGGGGTTGGGGGCCTAACGGGTATGAACAACAATAAAAACTTTCATGCATTTATGACCCACATTTTCGAACCTTTATCAGTCTCTAAAAGGGAGCTGGCAATAGATTTTAATGAGCTTCGTCCTTCAAGCCTGAAAACATTTTAATATGGTTGATTAATCCTTTGTCGTTTATCAAAAAAGTACTGAGGTTGTGCTTTTTAATTATTGTTATAGATTTCTAAAATATATTGACACCTTTGGGACGTTGGTAACTGTCACCAGGCATTATTTGACGACATTTCTCATGGTTTTGAATATAGCCGACTTTATAGAAGATAAATATCAGTTTACAACACAACTGCCTAAATCTTGGTATTTTCGGAACCAGAGAAGGGATATGCCGATACTTAGGTCGTTAACCTAGCATATTATGGTCACGCTATTTATTACCGAAGTCTTTAATTGCGGTAATTAGGCTATAATCTACTTTCCAACAAAGGCAGGCTCCCCGCCATCGTTGTATTTAGAAGGCGGCTTCTTAGAAGCAACGTGACGTCATAACATTGTTCATGATGTCATGTCATCATGACAAAGTGATATTTTATCCGGTGTATATCGCATGAAAACAAATTATCCCCGATATGTTTGCCCTCGTATGCTATAAGTATTGTTATTATCATTCTTTGAGGTTAATGCCACCCGTTGAATTCTTTGTTGTATTTTGGCGGTGAAACTAAATAAATGATTTCTTTGGTCTACCCATAACAATTAAGGTGTCGACTTCCACTGTATACCTTTACAGTAGTATATATAATGTGAGTCCGAGATCAAGTCCAACAAAGCCTCTGCAAAGCTTTATTTCACAAATAAAGCTTTGTCAGGCCCTTAGATCTCGCCCCAGTATATCTACTACTTTTTGAGACCCTGTTAATTTCCCGCCTACACGTGGCACTACTGTGCCGCTATGCCACGTTGACCTCGATGAAACAGTTAAATGTGAATCGCCTATGATCTCTTTGGTGTTTGTAATAAAGGCTTGCTGGGCTTTTGTATCCCCTGTTCTATGTACTTTTTTCTCGTCCTCGCTGATAGCAGACTTACGAGACTTGGACCTGATTTCTTGTTTCCATCTTACGGTACTTATCAAGTTCAGAGAGGATTGAATGAAACTCCTCCTCTGAGATCTTACTGTCTGTGACTGCCGTGGAAATACGCTCACTTACAGTGTTCCACAGCAAAAATAACTTGGTTTCCGGACACCGGAAACCTAACGGAAACAAAATGGAAACTTAAGTTTCCATTAGGTTTCCGGACTGTTTCTCTACATTTCCTTCAAGTTTCCGGAAAACGGAAACTTACAAATTACCCAGTTTCCAATATGGCTCCAGTGCGTTTCCGTTACCCAGTTTCCAGTATGGCTCCAGTGCGTTTCCGTTACCCAGATTCCAGTAAGGCTCCAGTGCGTTTCCGTTACCCAGTTTCCTGTAGGGTTCCAGTGCGTTTCCGTTACGCAGATTCCTATGAGGTTCCATTGGGTTTCCCTTATCCTCTACTTTCAGATGGTTTCATTTATTTACTTAGTTCAATTATGATTCCCTGTGATTTTCGTTTCTATTAATCACATTAACCATGTTCCATAAGTTTCAGTAAATCAGAATCTGTATGGCTCCATTTGGTTTCAATTATTAGTATTCAGTGATTACCATATGTCCATATTAAATTATGATTATTCATTCATATTATCTGTAGTTGAAATGAGTGTATTATATATTTGAATGTATTATGTCATATATTTTATTCATAATACATTCAAATATAAAATAAACTCATTTCAACTACAGTTACCTCAACACCACATGGACATAGAAATAAATAAATACAAAATCAGTCAGTCAGTCGATTTCTCTTTATTCATCATAAACATATCATGTCTATGTTTCAATGTTACAATTAAACATTGTCACAAATCACAGAGAGAGAGAGAGAATGGTGTCATCACAGGCCCTATGGATTTGAAATTTTGTCTGAGTAGTAGTTTGTTCAAATAAATATTATGGAGGGGTTGGCATTTTTTAATATGAGGGACATTAATTTCTTTTAATCTTAGTCTCAGAAACAACAAATTTAGATGTTCTTTCCTAAACAGGGTGACTACAGGAGATAATTGAATGTACATTTAGACATTCCATCCTATCCCTAAGACCTTTAGGTGGTTGGAAAGCATCTTGTTGGATGGTGTCGCGAGTTCTTTATTTTTGCCTCTGGAGCGTCAGACACCACTGGCGATGTCAATTCTGGGGTTAGGACTGCAGCCACCTTCTGTGTTCTTTTCTCTGTCCAGCTAGATTCTTCAGTCGCTGTTGGAGTTTCTGGGGAAAAATGAAGTTCTTGCACTGAGAAAGTTATGTCCAACATTTATTCTTGAGAGCGGCACTTTTTCTAATTAGATAATGGCACATTACGGTGATGGGTAATGACATGTGATAAGGAAAGTTATTCTATTACAGGTATATAGCGATGTGATAATATGAAGCACATCATGTCAGTTAAGTGACTCAGGGTGTTTTAAACTGGTGTCAGGAAGTGTATAACCCGGTACAAATGATATTATATAATCCAGTTTCAGGAACTTACAGATCGGATTCTTTTGTTTCTTTTAGCATCTTTCCTGTGTTTTCTTCCTTTCCTGTAATCTGCCGACGTCGATCGTCCATCTTACTCCTCCAGATTATCCAAAAGGTTTCTATTAAGAAAAGCAAATGAGTTAATTTTCATTCATCCAATAATAGATTATTACAATCCGACAAACATTCATTAGTTTGATTATTATCATATTCACCATGTATCAAACCAAGTAAGAAGTAATTGTGGTATATCAACTACATGTATATGCATTACTGCGAGGGTGTGAGAAGTTTTCTATTAACATGATCGACGTGATTATGCAGCAATTATGCACTACATAATGGTATGCTATGTCAATTCTACTACTAGTACTTAACTACTAGATAACTGACAACGAAATAATTAGATGCTAGATTTACCCAGTTGTGAACAAGAAACGAGTTGAGGGCAATTTTAATTTTAGCTTGCATTAATGACTTCTTTAATCTTATAAAACCCAACATATATATTGATTATGATGTCGAGCAATAATAAAACTTGGGGTAAGTTATTTTACCTTAAATAAGTAACTTTTAATGGATTTTCAAGGGACTCCACGAACTTTTCCATGATTCTTCTCACAGTAACCTAAAACAAAAAGAGACACACATTTGGATCATGAACATATGTCGATTGGTAATATTTTCCACCGAAATATCATGAACTACTGGTTTCATCTATATTTGTTGCCATGCTGGATATAACCATTTCTTAAAATATATTTGTATTCCGTCAATAACCTGGAAAGGCGAACAAGCCAAGTGGCTTATATAAACGCCGCTCCAGTACACGGTTCCAATATAGCTGGATACATAATTGAAATAGTCCGACAAGAAAAGAATAATACTGAGACAAAATTACACTCAGAAAAATGACTGAACAATAAATATTTGGTTATGGTGTTGGTTGTGCCCAGCAACAAAATGAGCTGCCGCAGAAAATCAAGTTATATAAATATCAGACTCAACGTACAGGAACACAAAGGTATGCTTGCTTATGGTTATATTTTAACGGAATGTTCAGCTGGTATCAACAATAATGTTGTTTTTTGACAGATTTCACACCAAAATGCAATGTCCACATTAATAACCGTGGGAGAAATCGAAATGCGAGCGCACCGTTACTGTAAGATAAAGGTTCGTACCGAAAACGTTTAATTCGATGCAAACTGACTGCTATGATAAGAAGAAAATAATGAATTTCATCTGAAACCTACCTGACAAGGACGGGGTACTGTAGGTACTGCCAATTTCTCTGTCCTGGGTTTCCGTTGAGATCGCTCAAGTTCCCGAATCCTTGTTTCCAAAGCTTCGATTGTCAAGTATGTTGCCATGCGTCAAGAAAACTATAGCAAGTATACATTTCTACTACCTTACTCTCATACACTTACTTCAAAACAATCGTTTTTTTCCAATCTCGCACGTGTACTTTTGAACAAAGATGGCGGCATTTCAAACCAAGACTTATGGGTACTCAATTAGTTGGGTTTTTTTCATTTCTATTGTAAACATGCCAATAGTCTGCTTACCCTTCACAAGTTTAGAAAAACACTGATAACTGCAATATGTGTTTATGTAAATTGTTTGTGTTTACAATGTCACATCTCGCGGGGCCTCATTCATTCCAAATCAAGCGCTTCCGGTTTCGGGACAACAATTTTAGTACGTGGTCTGACTGCCAGGTGGGCAGCACCTGCTACCTCGACCGTGACGGACCCAGGGACTGGGCAGCTGTCCACCTTGGCAGAATTTCCTCAACCTAAACAATGAAACAATAAGGTGTATGTATTTTCCGTAATAAAGTACTCCAGCAGTGTAAGCTTTTTTTCAGATTTTCCGATGCGTTGATCGTATATGACCGATCCAATTTGATCCTATTTCTGTGTTTTTTACCTCGATATTTAATCATATCAAGAACAATGTGATGTTTGATGACCTATTATTTGAAAACCACACAGCGTAGTTCCCAAAGATTTTGTAGGCAATTAATATAGCATGCAATACAACGATTACTACTCCCTTGCTGTAACCGTGTTTGGTGATATAAACCTACACCCGTTTATTTGTCATCATTCACTTGAACTCATTTAGTGAACTTATAACAGGTATAATTAGTGGTAACATCACTCAGATGGGTTGTAGTCAAAAGGGCCGAAGGACAAAAGGGCCGAAAAAAAAGTCAAAAGGGCCGAGGCTAAAAGTCAAATGGGCCGAAATGAAAAGTCAAAAAGGCCAAAAAAAGGGCCGAAATTAAAATAAAATGTAATAAATAATAATTTAATAAATTACGCAGTAAAATAGCATGAATAGTGTTTAGTTTGTTGTTTTTGTTATTTTCAATGGAATTTGAACATGAGACTCAGTGTCATGACTAATCCGTATGGGATGTTTGTTTTTGTTGTTGTTGTCGACTCAGTGTCAACTAATGAACTCACTTCAATTGACAATATGGTATATAACCTGCTTCCCAACATACAACATTCACAACACTAACCATGGCTGTCCAGTGTGTGCAGTGCTCTAAGACTATAAGAAGAAATCAGCATGCCTTAGAGTGTGATCAATGTCAGTCATGGACACACAGGACTTGTGGCACAGGGATGACTCGTGACGGCTACCTAGACTTATGTAGAAGTGGAGAAGAATTTAATTTCTTGTGTCATTTATGCAAGACAACTATTCCCAACTTCAGTCTCCAGTTGGATTCTTCAATAGATGCTCCATCAGTTGCTTTCGATGACACTCTTGAAGTTCAGGAAGTGTAAGTATATTTAACATCATAATGTATAACATATAACTTAATGCCGATCAAACAATTATATGTATTATATATTTTCAAGTTTATGTATTTTAATAACACAAATTTTTATTAACATAACAGATCAATGGAGGAGGATATTCTTGCGGAGGAGCGGGAGGTGGAAGATCCTCCATACACGTTAGTATCGGACGGCTCACAGAAATCAAAACCCAAGCTGGTAGACAGGAATGGATTCACCTACGTAATAAAGGTATTGTTACATCTTAATCCTATTGTATCAACCATACTATACCTGGATATTTCTATATTTAATGTTATTGTTTTTGACGTTATATTAACGTTATTTAATTACATCTTTCAGGAGGTCACTCAGAATAAGATTTACTACAGATGTAGCAAACGTCCCTGTAAGGCAACTGTTGCCGAGACCAAATCAACAGGAGACAGAGCGCCAGGCAAACATAACCACAGCCACACAGCAGAGGCAGGCAAAATTGTTTCAGTCCAACTTAGAGCTCAGGTGAGTAGTACTTTCTATTGATTGATTCCTAATTAGGATTAGTTAAATTGTCAATTGAACATCCTTAATTGTTAATTGGTAGATGTTAACGAACTGAATTGATTCTTAATTGGATCAATCAACCTTGTTGTTATAGGTGAAGAGGACTGCAACGCAAGACCATTCGTATATGCATCATATTCATATAGCCACATTTTTCAAAGTCATCTTCTGTTCCTATTCTTGTCATATACTCATATTCCTTTTTTCTTTTCTAGAGAGCGTATCGCGAGAACAATGCAGTTCACAAATTCATCAGGAAGCTGATGGCTTTGGCCTTTCTTCCAGCGGCACACATCAGACCGGTCTTCCGTCAGCTGAAGATGAGAGCGTCGTCACAGAAGCTGGTTGATCACTGATCGCTGATGAGTCACTCCATCTTCACAGTGGTCAGTTGGTGCGTATTCAACCAGTCAGTCCGCACCAACAACAATGTAGAAGGTATGTATAGTTAGTCATTCAATCGAAAAATGATTAAATTCAATATTTAAATGTCAAAATCGATAATATTTAACACAACAATATATATTATAAACAAATATTTTTAATTTTTAGGTTGGCATCGCCGGATGAATGTGCGGACATCTAATCAACAACTGGGACTGTACAAGCTGATTCCAGCTCTCCATAAAGAAGCCAGTCTCCTGCCACTCCACGCCCAGCTCCTCCATGATGGAAAACTCACAAGATTTGTGAAGAAGTCGGCGTCTGCTGACCAGGCTGAAATCTTTGCTGTTTGGCGGCTGTACAAAGAAGGGCAGCTCAGCCCTACTGCGCTACTGACGTGTTCCAGAGTGTATGCCCCAAGTGTGTTTGAATGAATGAATGAACAGTGTGTGAATTATGAAGTTGTGTGAATTATGAACAAATGAAGTTGTGTGAATTATGAATGAATGAACTTGTGTAAATTATGAATGAATGAACTTGTGTAAATTATGAGCGAATGAACTTGTGTAAATTGCCATAATATTATTTTTTGTTAATTATGTGAACTTGTGTTGATTAAATATATGTATTACCATTACATGAAAACTTGGCTACATGCTTTATTAATGTTATGCTGATATTATGCTTTATGTCAATAACTTTATATCAATAAATAATGTAAAACCTTTCTCAACTTTTTTTCTGTTCGGCCCATTTGACTTTCACCTCGGCCCTTTTGACTTTCACCTCGGCCCTTTTGACTTTTTCCATCGGCCCTTTTGACTATGCACTTCTCGGCCCTTTTGTCCTTCGGCCCTTTTGACTAGATCCCACTCAGATTACCCGACAAAGATTCCCAGTCTACACTAAATATTCAACATTATAAATTAAGGTCTTATGTACATGTTATGTAATATATGCATGGAGGTGCAGCAAAAGGAATTATCAGCTGAGTTAAAAAAACCAAACGCAGATGAAAGGATTAACCGATAACACGCTAATTGATTTATTACTTTTATCTTGCACGACGTCATTGTCAAAAGGGCCCATCAAAAGATAGTGTTTATGTTTGTAGAGCTACTAACTTATACTGAAGAGGTTTAGTACCGTGAAGTAGGTATTTGTGATGTTTGTAACAACAATAAGGGTGTCACACAGGGATTTTCAGGTTGACTGCACTTGGAGAACAGTGGACATAATATGTGATGATAGGCATGCAGGTAACACTAAATTCCCAAGTTGCAAACAAAATACATTGTACAACGAAGTGACTCTGAGGGTGTGAGTTCGAATCACAGATGGGGCTTAAAAAGTACTAGAATTTGTACTTTACTAAGAACGTGTAATCCCAAATATATCATTTGTTACATTTCACCACTTTCTAAATGGCATTGTGTAATCGAAGTGATATCCGTAGAAAATACAAGAATTTTAGAGAATATTATACATATTCATGATATGACAACAACAATAAAATTAATTAGAATGACATCTTAGCACAAATTATTGTGCTAAGATCATCATAATGATAAAACAATTTCATAATACATGTACAAAGTACACATCCAGTCTACACTGCAATTTCATTAAGTATGAAACTGCGTCTGCGAACGCAGGTACACTTATTCTACCTGCAGACAAATCATCAGTGGTATTGTAAAATATATTTATGTTATATGTTGTATTTATTGTCACAGCGGATATTTATAAATTATACCTTTATATCATTGTTGACACGTTCGTGGTTACGTATGTCAGGATGTTTGGTGACTATCATCGACAGTGGAGACAGCTGAGACTCTACAACATACCCAGGACATCCAAGATGTAGCATTTCTCTAAAGCGTACCATCCATACATAGAAATCTTCCGCCTCGTGAAGTCGGAATGAACTTTTACTTTACACATGTAACTGCTGTTTTGCCATAATAAAAGTGATGAATTTGAAAGTATGGCCAGCATATTATGTACCCAAATTGATGAGTTGGTGCTTACTTATATCAATTAATGACAATAAATGATTGTTTAAACAAGCTAAGTGAGTTCAATTTCATTGATTTTCATTATGTAAGTGAACAAGGGGTGAGTTCGTGTCACCTATTTCGCTAGGTAGTTCAGAAAGCTAATCCCTTAAAACAACATGCACCGTTTTTAACGAATTGTGGACATTATGTAAAAACTTGTCCAATGAAACCCGGTCACGTGACATGGAACAGTTTTTGGGGGGCAGCTGCAGATGAATGGCATATCGTTCCATTATGTGGATACTGATGGATACTTTTCTCGAACAAGGTAATAGCCCATTAGTGTTGTTATAACGTTAGTTGGTTTTAAGTTTGGTATCTGTATTTTGTTTTGATTTTTCTTGCAGCATTCAACAAAATCTTTCCACAAACAACATGTACTAATGAGTTATAAGCCCCCACCTCTCCTCTTCTGGCAACCCAGGGGCGTACCCAACATGATCTCTTAGTTTTTTTCAGGTTGTAAACTGATTCCCTTATATTTTAGGTACTCTATGACACATCTAGAAAGCCATTTTATAAATTTGTGAGGTTCCAAAGTGGATATGATAAATATGATAATGGATCAATAATGATAACGCTATAATTAAAAGGCAAAACGTTCATTGACTTCATTTTCTTTCAATCCTAACATTTTTCACCACTGGCAGATGAAGTTAAAAATATAAGTCTATAAGTCTACTGTATAGTTGTGGCCCGTATTATGTTCTTTATTGAACATTTACGATACTATTGTCCTTTTTGGTACAGTTATGTGTAATGTGCATAACCACTCCCAGTTAGTTGTATTAGTATGTATCACTTTGAAAAAAAGGTACAAATGGAAAGCCAATGGGTAACTGAAACCTAATGGAGCCTTACCGGTTCTTCAGTAATTTATAAGTTTAAGGCATCTGTGAGTGTACCTAACAAAACGTAAAGGAGACAAAGTAGAATCCGTAATATGGTTTAACTTTTCCTGAAATTAATCTTGTTTCATGTGACAGTGTCTTTTATTTGAATTCTGTGTCCAATAGGTTTCCGCAACAAACTACCGAAACTAAGTCATTTTGCTATGAATGTTTCAGCGACCTGAAACTAAATGGAAACTCATAAAGACAGTTTCAGTTGTAGAAATCTGACGGAAACCTAGATTTGTTAGTTTCAGTTTTGTAAATTATGCGGAAACTGCGGATACTGAAACCTAGCGGAAACCTACATTACCCATTACCACCTATTGGATACTGGGTAATGTAGGTTTCCGATAGGTTTCTGTTGGTTTCAGCTTAGATGAAATGGCAAACTTAGCTTTGTGCCGTTCCATTGGCGGACAATATTTACTTACTGTTACATTTGCAAGACAATTTCTATATACAGAATCCAGCTAGGGTCAATGCGGTTATCTCCCATTTGACAGACACCCAATTGACAGACACTGAACTAGAAGGTTAATTAGGGTAACACCTACGGTTATAATGGAACAGTCCACTGTCTAGTGAGTAGAGCAGGGTAAGACTGAAACAGGTTCGTTACTGAGAAGTTTGATTGTGTGTAAATAGAACTTTGTTGTGATTAAATGATAAGTGATTTCTCTTCTCAAAATTGATTTTACTATCAATTACTATCGAATGTGTTTATTGATAGAAAAGACCCATCCCAATTTTAGCATATGTACAACAGAAGTTAACTGAGAAAACGTTTTGTTGGAGAGATATAGATATGTACATATTTGAAAACAGTATTTGCAGTAAATGAGACACCTGCATTGCCATGTAAGATACGATTAACACCAATCAGTGTTCTAATTTCAACAATCCTTTCTAAAGATTGTAACAGTTCTTTGAGTAGTATACAACGGACATTCAAGGAAGTAATATAAAACATTCTCACACCCACACCACATTGACATGATGCGTTATATTTTTAATATTTATTCTAAATAAATCGTAATTAAGTGCACTCGTCATATATCTTAATATTGTGTGCAAAACATATAACTTCTATATTCCATATGAATAGTATTTAGGTTCACATTTGTCTTTATTTAATTTATATGATACACTCATAAACATCTGGGGCTGACTTTACAAAGTGATGGCCACTGGAATATACATATAGATGATATTATTTCTAAAGTCAGTCCTATGATCAATTGTTTAAGAAGTCTGAAATACCGCCTTCAGAGGAAAACCCTCCAAACCCTGTATAGTTCATTTGTTTTACCACTTTTTGACTATTGTGATTATATTTGGAATAACTGTACACAAACTCAAGAGTTATTGTTAGAAAAACTTCACTTAGATGCTTTAAGAACCATATGTGGATCAGTTAGAGGAGTTTGTCATTCCAAAATCTACCATGAAACTGGTTTTTCATCATTAAGGGAACGTCGTAAAAACCACCAAATGTATGTATTTCATAAAATGTTCCATAATAAAACTCAGATCTAATTCCAATAAACATACCCTCTGTATCCACATATGGATCTAGATCTAGTAATATGCTTCAAGTACCATTGTGTCGTACAGAAACATATAAAAAATCGTTTTTACCAACCTCTTGTATCATTATCTAACTTGTTCCACTCCATCACAGAGGATGGAGTGGAAC